CACACACACACACACACACACACACACACAGACACACACACACACACACTTGAACCCACACCTGAGCATGTCTTTTGCAATATTGCCAGCACAGCATGACACCAGGAAGACACCCCCTCACACAATATGGCCATATTTCGTAACCTCTTTTTTAACACCTGATTTTAACGCTGAGTCATCATTAATATGGATTACTGCATATGTCACCCCAGAATAAGACATGCTTTACTGTGTTAGACGCTAAAACGCAGAACAAAAAAGCGAGTTTCTGGTGTATGTAACAGATTTTGTTGAACGTTATGAAAGACATTTATTGCATTTGCTGTATAATAGTAATTTCCCTCTCTCAGGCCCAGCAAAGGACCTCTTTCCCTGCAGGACTTCAAGCTGATCGCTGTTCTCGGCAGGGGCCACTTCGGGAAGGTACTGTGTTTCATTTTCAAAATGATAAAATACACATCTGTTGTGTAAATAAGTATTTTAATATTAGCAGCCTGTCAGTAAACACAAGCTCCATGCAGCTCCATGGAGCATTTTAGCCTGTTTTAGCTCTGTGGGCCTCATTCAAGTGGGCATGTGAAATAACTGTTTGATTGATGAAACGTGCACACTGAACAGTTTTATTCTTTCCATCATACATTTGGTATTAGATCTTGGTATTACACCCCCTATGAGCTTTGAATTCTAGGCTTTTTCACAGAATCCGACTCAGACTTGTGAGTGGCAGATCATATCTACTAATCTTAACCAGTATATCAGCTGATCTTAGCTATATACATCTATATATCTGTATCTATAATAACTAAGATCTGTTGATGTAAATAGCTGAGAACGTTTTCATTTATTACAGCAGATAAATGAACATTTAAAAATGATAGAAGAGATGGGGGGAAGCACCCTTTAACCGTTTTACGAGTGTTGACTTTGCATTATTTGTCCACCAGGGGGCACTTTGTAACTTCCTTATTGGCAACAGGTGTTTGGAGCCACAAACAAAATTACCTGCTAATCTGAGCTGAGTCGGGGAGAATATAAACTAGTAAATAAATAACTACCCATAAGAATTGTCAGTGAAATCTGTTTATGTTTCATGTGTCTGTAAGACAAAACATTTTGGCATTTCCTCAGCCAGCCTGGACATAGTTCAAGGGCGTTCCAAATTTAGTTGCAGAGTACGAAGATATTCTTGTCAGAAAATACTGATAAAGCTCAAATTTGTCCATTCATACTGTTGAAAGAAGCCCAAGGAACACATAAAGAGCTGCGATCAACCAAATAAACCACCACCACCAAAGCGCTATACAAATACAGGCTATTTTATCATACTTCCCTAAATACTCACACTTACTGCAAAAATACCTCCCGGATAAATGCAGGGTTGCTCCAAGTTCATATTTATTGAAAAGAAAAATGCTTTAGGTTTCAGGCTGAGGCAGGTTGGGTAGGAGGGAGAGTACCGAGTTCTTTATTAGATATGCTTTTGGATCACAAAGACAAAATTACAGAATTACACCTGCCTTCTGTTACTTTTTTCCAGTTCATTTCCATTAGCAGAGAGTTACTCAACAAAAACTCTGAAGTGATTAACGAAAGCTTTTGTTGGACTCTTCAGGTGCTGCTATCGGAGTACAAAAAAACAGGCAGCCAGTACGCCATCAAAGCCCTGAAGAAAGGAGACATCGTCGCGCGTGATGAAGTGGAGAGGTAGCTGTGCTTTACCACCTTAACCACATCTTTGCTGCACGACAAGAGCTCATTCACCTCATAATTACACAATGATTGTCTCATGTGCATCCCCCTTCCTTCCCCGTCCCTCCCCCTTTCCTCTGTTTGTCCGTCTCCAGTCTGATGTGTGAGAAGCGGATCTTTGAGATCGTCAACGGCTCCCACCATCCCTTCCTGGTCAACCTGTTTGCATGCTTCCAGACGCCAGAACATGTGTGTTTTGTCATGGAGTACACGGCAGGAGGAGACCTCATGATGCACATACATGCAGACGTCTTTTCTGAGCAACGTGCTGTGTGAGTTCTGTTTTGTCGTGCATGTATACCTACACATATCTACAGGAGCTGCTCGGCCATGGAAACCATGCCATGAAGTTCCCGGCACACAGTTTTGCCGCTGATGTTAATGTGTACGGAAGTTTGAAGCAGTTTTTGAGTCAACAGAGCGTCTGTCACTTTCACGCACTGCAACTTTGTGTAGTAGGCTCCTTTGTGGCTGAGCTTCTGTGGGTCGTAAAAGCTTCCACTCTACAATAACACGGTTAATTGTGGGATATGTAGGCGGGAAGAAATCTGACAAACCGAAGCTTGAATTCAATGAGCTCTTTAGTGTGACTCATTCTTTCATGAATGGCTCGGTGCGTAGACTTTGTACACCTGGAGGAATGGGACTGAAGTCATGCTTCACACTTTTCTTCTGCGTCTCTTGCTTTCTGTCGTCTGTACAACAGGTTCTACTCTGCCTGTGTGGTCTTGGGTCTTCAGTTTCTTCATGACCACAAGATTGTGTATCGGTGAGTGTTTGTATCGCCTCCGTCTTTGCATTCCACACGTAACGCGTTTCCTTTCTCTTTGAAGTAGTCGACATAAATCTGATTCCTTTTCTTCCATCAGGGATCTTAAACTGGACAACCTGCTGCTGGACACTGAGGGTTATGTTAAAATAGCTGACTTTGGGCTTTGTAAAGAAGGTGAGTGTTCATCATATGCTGATCACATTGATCCTCTGTTCCCTTCTGTTTGGTTAAATCTGACTCAACCCTCACACGTTGGTCACCCTTTGTTTCTTTCTTTTCTGAGGCATGGGTTATGGAGACAGGACCAGCACATTCTGTGGGACTCCTGAGTTTTTGGCCCCAGAGGTGCTCACAGACACATCGTACACCAGGGCAGTCGACTGGTGGGGCCTCGGGGTGCTCGTGTATGAGATGCTGGTGGGAGAGGTGAGAGCTAGTCAGTCACCACATTCACACAGAGGCCATTTTCTCCTGATGTTGCTCTCACCCATGTGATTGTTGTTAGGGTAGAAAGGGTAAATGATCCTTGTAGCGCTGACCCAAGCTCAGAGGCAGAGGATCAGATGATCCCCGATTCCCAGAGTTACATAACTTGCTACCTTCTGAGCTTCCCACTGAGCATGACAGGAGTGGGGAAAAGGTTGTGTAAATGTCATGAATACCCATCTTTCTTCGAGCTTCTTATCTCCTGCCTGGATGTCAAATAAAATGACAAAAAATGAAACACTAACACTGAAGATGCCATCTTTAGGTTTCATAAAAAGTCATGACAGGGGCATGTTTACTGTTTCTAACACTTTAAAACGTTTGATAGCAGATGAAGCTGTTAGCTTAAGGCTTGAAAGCAGAATATTTTCTCTTTCGTGCTTGATAGGGACTTATACATCATATCTCCAAACGTTGATTCTGTACATCGGGACGTAGCACTTTCAGTGGGAAAAACTTTTCGTCACTCATCCACGTGATTTCCTCAGTCTCAGTCTCGGTCTTTAGTCTCTTGAACAGAATCAACTTTTGGAGGTTTACTTACCTGGATGATTGGGCATCAAGACTTTTTATGTCATAGTGCAGCAGAGGTAGTCAGTGGGTGTTTAGGCATCCAAACTCTTTAGTGCTGTAACATGGTCTGGTTATTGTCTTACTTAAATAAGGATGGTGGCTAAGCTGCTTCAGGTGTATTGTTATGCATTAGAAAAATGTTCTACAACGTCCTGGGCCTTCTGACCTCAGGTAATCACATGATAGGGTGGGGTTACAGTGAGTTCACCCCAAACCTTGGCTGATTGTGACCTACATCCATTTTCACACCTTGGCTCGTGGGGTTAGGTAGAGGATCATTAGGGGGTCCTTTCTCCCTCTCGGGGGGGATACTCCCACAGGGCTTAAATCTGTGACTCTCCACCATTTGACCCTAGAACTGAAGAAGCTTCTCGGATGAGAGGTGAAACGTCTTTAAGTTGCTTAGAGACGTTTCACCTCTCATCCGCTTTGAAAGAAAAGTCCAGATGCTTTTCTTTCTAAGCTCCTTAAAAGAGCAGCTGAAATATATAAACTCCATGTTTATTTATCTTAATAATGAATCATTAATTTAATTTACACCCGTCATGTAAATTTCATTTGACCAGGTTCCATTACATGTAACATTTTTATTGTACTCGTGTATCAATATTCTATGAAAAATTTACATATAATCAAATTACTTAAAGTCAGCATTTTGTCATTAGTTACAGTGTAATACCACTGTAACTAATGATGAGTATGCTACAGAATGTAGTTGAATAAAACGTTATATTTTACAGATGTGTAATGTATAATGTTTGTTTCAGTCTCCTTTCCCAGGTGATGATGAAGAGGAGGTTTTTGACAGCATAGTGAACGATGAAGTCCGCTACCCGCGCTTCCTCACCACTGAGGCCATCGGCATCATGAGACGGGTCAGACGATGCTTTCTTAAAGTTATTTTGGGCTTTTGTGTATTTCTAATAATAATAATAATAATAATAATAATAATAATGGATTGCATTTATATAGCGCTTTCTGTTTGATTTTTAGGAAGGTTTTGATATGTCTTCATTTTTTTTTGTGCTCATAAGTGACATTTTTGTTTTTTTCTAGCTGTTGAGAAGAAATCCCGAAAGACGTCTCGGTTCTGGAGAAAAGGATGCCGAAGAGGTCAAAAAGCAGCCATTTTTCAGGGTGAGCATTTTTTCTTTCATATTTTTTTTTTCCTTGGCAAGAACGTTGATTGACAGCTACCTAAACCTAAATCCCATTCAGGTAATGGACTGGGAGGCACTCCTGCAGAGAAAAGTCCCGCCCCCGTTCGTTCCCAACATAGTGGGGAAAGAAGACGTCAGCAACTTCGACGAGGAGTTCACCAACGAGCCTCCCGCCCTCACGCCGCCCCGCGAGCGCCGAGCCCTCTCCCGTAGGGAGCAAGATTACTTTAAGGATTTTGACTACGTCTCTGACCTCTGCTAGGCTCCGCGGTCAGAGGTCAAAGGGTTATTAGCTCCCCACTGCCAGCCACAGACTCTGAGAGGAGACTGAGAAGTGAAAGGCTGCTGTAAAAGCACAGAGGAACTTGATGTTGATGAGAAGCGAGGAGGACTCTCTTCTCCGCGTGCTCACGGTGAGACGAAGCACTGGCCGGGCCGAGCGTCAATGATTACGCGTTCCAAACACAGGCAGTAACAAACAGACTGTCTTGAGGGTGGGGGGGTGGGGAGGTCACGAGAAGAACTGAAGATAATCCAGGTTATCAGATCCTGCTGTTTGTTTGAAATGCTCACAGAGCCTCAAAATCACAAAGAGTGAAAAAAATGTGATGATTCTGACAGGAAGCGCTCTTTTTTTCCTGCATTTGCTACACTCTGTCGTCCCTTTATCTCTGCTGTCTGTTGCTGCTACAGTGTGTGTTTAGCCATGTGCACTGTCCTCTGCCTCAGTCATGAATGTATCCACGTGATCCGCAATCATGCACCACCCGTACATTACCACCCGGGGGAGCCAGAGGAAAGAGGGGCTCTCTTCTTTTGATTAAGCCAAAGAAAGGCAGGAGCAAGTGGAGGGTCTTGCTCAGTCGTCTTTGTGTTGCGTTCCCACCGACTTTTGGTACAACACAGATTTTTGACTCCAATCGTTTTTCAGAGACAGGAAGCTTTTACAATTTTTGTGATTTTAAAGTTTAGTTTTTCCCTCATCTGTGTTTCTTCCTCTGTCATTTGCTGGTGAAATGTGTTGACTCAGTAAAAATGTGAACCCAAACTTTGGAAAATTTGGTGATTTAATGCCCCCCCCCAACAACACACACGTCTGCTGTATATTCTTACATCAGCAAATTGTTCGCACACGCATGTGAGCGATAAAGGAAACCTATCGGTCCGGATAGAAGAAATGATTTGAACTCCAGGTTCCTCAAAGAAAATGTTTCTTTACGATAGGTTTGTGGTTTTATATTAAACTAAAAATTAACTCAAAAAGAGGTGTGAAGAATTTGTTTTGTTTACTTAAAGAAAAACGAAAAAATAGACAAAAACCTGAAAAAATGTTTTGAGCCTACAGAATTAAGATAAACTTGGAATAATCAGAAAGTGTGTTTGATTTTAATTCTATATCAGCTTAGTGATATTTGTCAACAAGCCTCAGGAAGCTTCAGTACAAACAGTTTGTTAGGCTAAAAGTGTTTGGTGTTTATCGTAATACCTGAAAACCCCCGTACTGTAATAAATAAAAGGACTAAAAGTGGCATTAAAATGAATAAAAACCAAATGGAAATGTTTTAAACAACAAGTAAAATGAAATAAAAATGAAAACTAACAATGTAGCTGAAAGACCAGTCCAAAGAGTTTTGACTGAGCGATGGCGCAGATGTATCCAGAGTTTCTGTGATTGCTTTAATTGAAAGGTGATTTGCAGGAGAGCAGCACACAGATGTGCGTGTAATTTCTTTCTTGTGTCGCACTGACCCCACAGCATTTTGGATTTGGGGAGTGGATCAATTATCCCTGCTCACTAAGGCCTAGATGGAAAAAAAAAACAAAAAACAGGTAAAATGTAAAAGGATGACAAAACATGTCTGAGTTACTCAGGGTCCCAGCTGGTATCGTTATTGGTGCTTTAAGGGAACTATTATGCAATTAAAGTACACAGACACAGATCATGTTTAAAAATTGCACTTTATTTACTTGCAGCCTGTCACTAAACCACAGTTTGTTCCCATTTATTTAGTCGACTCTAAGATAAAACACTTTGACAGACATAAAATAGGGTTTTTGCACCAACAAGGTGATTTACAAAGAGGTCGGCATGGTGTGCAGTCTGTTCTTAAAAAATCTGAGGAAACTAGACAAGTCTTTTAATACTGTAAATCTTGTTACTGTGACATCTACAATGATATGATGAGAATCTTTGTATTTTGATTGGGTACAGCCCCCTGATTCATTTCAGGTTTACTTAATGGGCTGTATATAAAAAGAAGGATGTAGACACTGTAAAAGTCAGAGAAATGCACGATCTGCAGTAATCTGTTTGGGTTTTTTGAAACTCTACATCATGAGGTGATATTTGATTTTCCTCCACGACTCATCGGGAAAGCTTTAAGAGAGAGGGAGCTGAGGTTTTGTGTTTTCATCATGCAGCCAGCTGAGTCTCCCCTGCTGACCATTAGAAAGATATTAGGTTTCAGGCACATCCATGTCGGCTTCACATTTCAGAAGATATGCCCATTTGTTAAAGCACAGTTTAAGATTTTTGTCTCATGCAAAACTCTGGTATTTGGACTGTCTACACGTCCATAACAACATGAAATCACGCCTGATTTCTTTGGCTTTTCTGAAATTTATAGCAGAATTATCTCCTTGTTTAGTTGTTGTGCTCACAACTCTACAGCTTTGGTGCAGAGTCCCTTTCCCATAGTAACATTTTTGGCCAGAAGGCAAAAAGCCTTTATACTGCCTATTCAACACCACAGTGGACAGCGAGCAGGCTCAGCAGTGAGAGTGGGGAGACCAAAGATGGAGCTAAAAACTCTGTGAACGCAGTTCTTATGGTCTTCAGGTGAGCAAAATCACAACCTCGACAATGACAATGTATGCTCACTGTTATCACTTCTTTCCACTTTGAAAGCCAAGAAAAAACAAGATCTTACAAGCCCCTCCCATCCACACATAAAATAGATGATGAAGCTCTGACAGGCTGCTTATTGGGGAGAAGCTGCTGTGGGCTTTCACTGGTTTGCTATCATGTTTTCTTTAGAAAGGTGTTTCAGAGGTTCAGATAAGAAGACACACCAGTTAATGTGTGTGTTTGTGTGTGTCTGGGTTTTTGTTTTTTAAATACCCCACCACCCTCCACCCCGCCTCCCGGTATCACCCTCACATTTCCCCTGCCAGTCAAACTTCTGAGGTCCACCCTGGTCCTCCTCTTTCCCTCCTCTTCCCTCCTTCTCTCCCTCTACTCCTCCTTCCTGTTACCATCTACGTTTGGAGACGTCTCCAGAGCCTTTTATTCCTCTCCTCGCCGTCTCTCTCTCCACTCTGTCACACCATCCCGCAGTCCCTCCCATTGCCCCTTCTTTACAGCTGCCCACCCCCCGACACCCCCTCCCCTTCGGCATTACTCCATGTGTAAAATGAATTTCACCCGGAGAAATCTATTGCTTACAAGACGCGCACCTCAGCGGGCTAAAGATGCCCGATGGCCCGCACAGCTGAGAGTTGCGCTTTTTTTCCCTTATTCTTATTCTGTATTTGGTCTGTTTGACATGTTGAGGGTGTGTGATAGTGTGTTTAGGAAATGAGAGGGGTGTGCGCAGAGTTGTGAATACAGTGAAGTCTGAAGCAAACAGCTGGACCAGCAGTCAGCCTGTACCTTCGAGGAGCCGCAGGTGAGTGACTGTATTCACCCCAAGAGCGCAGACCGCTGGAGGGGAGAGAGTTTTTAGGAATCCTGCAATTTCCTGAAGACTCGACTAGCACGACTTATCTGTCCGGAACTTTCTTGGAATTTAACTGGAGCAACAAAAATACATTTATGAGAACACCAGTCTCCATGTTTCACTATCTTAAAGCATGAATCAAGTTAGCAGCTCTCACACAGACTGCAGAGCGCGTGTTTGTTCTGCTCAGGATGTTTTGCATGATTTCCTGAGCAGTATGGACTGGTTCTCAGTAAATTCGTGGACCATGCATGGATCAGACTGATGCTCAAGCACGTTCTGCTCCATGTCAGCGCATTTCTGCGAGCAAAAAGAAAAAACAAGCTGAGAAGAGTAAATCAGAGGTCGGTGCACTTAAGTCAGGATGGTTTGATAAAAGCTTTGATTTAATACATTTGACGAAAGTTTATTTTTTATATTATTTAAAAGACTTTTTTATTGTGACAGTTCATTTTGTAAAACTCTTTCCCAGAGGAACATGTTTGGTTGATTGATTGTTAATTATTGCTATTAAATGTTTATTTTTTTAAACTGACACTTTATTAGGTACACCTTTCTATTCAGCAGTTTTCTGCCAGCAGTTTTGGGTCCATATTAATGTGATAGCAACAAACAGCTGCTGCACATCCATGATGTTACCTGATGGTGTGTTATCCCCATCAGCTGATGGGTACATTAACTCTTTATCCTTGAAAGCCTACTAAGAGTGACGCTTGAATCTCTTTTCTGACCCGGGCAGTTTCTGTTATAGACTGCGCTTGCATCAGAAATTATTGAGGGTGGTCTCTGCTGATGCACCTAAACTTGGAAAAACACATTAACTATTCTAATGTTCATCAAACAAGATCTTTGTTTATATTTACTAAGGTATCAAAACTCATCATTAAGGGTACAGATGAGGTCCTGTTTATGTGGGAGAGAGTTGTGCATTCAGAGATGCTATTACTCATGCCTTGATTGTAAAGCGTGGTCGTTGAGTTATTGTCGTCTTCAGCTCGAGACATTCTGGCTATTCTCCTCTGATCTCTGACATCAGTGAGGCATTTTCTCCCTGAGAGCTGCCGTTGTCTCTTTCTCGAACCATTCTACATAAATCCTAGAGATCATTGTTTGGGGAAATCCAAGCAAAATATCAGTTTTTGAAATACTCAAACCACACTGTCTGGCACCAACGACCATGTCAATGTTACATCAGTCAGGTTTCTCCCCTGGTCTGAAGCTCAGACAATGTCTACATGCTTAAATGTGAGTTGTTGCCATGTGATTGGCTGATGAGATATTTGCATTAATGGCCAGTTGAACAGATGTCTCTAATAATGTGTCCAGGGGGAGTATATCAAGGTTGCTTGCTTTTTTCAACCAACAGTCCCTATTTTGATCATTACTAATCAAACTTATCTGAAGCTTTTCTGCTCTGGCGAAAAGCAGGCATACTGAGATAACTCTGAGTTAAAAATCACACATAAACTGTATGTTCGATTGTGTTTTTAAGGTGTTACACTAAAAAAGCATTCGGTCAGTCTGGTGAAGCAGTTGTCATGATGCCTTCGCTGTCTGGACTTGGATGGACTTTATTCTTTCTCTCTTTCCTCTTGGAGCACCCAGAAGGTAAGTCCAACGACACCCAGCAGGAGACAGCAAGAGATGTATTTATCTTCTAGACCAGCAACAATGAGGATTGTGTCGTGAAGACATAGCGAATTGTAAATGTGGTATTTCCTGTGCCCAAGTCAAAAGTCTTTACTTGAAGTGTCAGAATGAAAGTGAAAGTTGCTACATAGTTTTCTCTTGGACAAGTTCCCACCCACCCCCAGGCGGGGATTTGAGCAAATGTAGAAACATCAGAGTACTGTATCACCCACACATTAGAGGGAGAGAAAGGAGGAGAAGAAACACAATGTTTCACAATGAAACTCAGCGAGGCCTGCATGGGGAAGCACTCATGTCTCATGTTATTTGTTATTTTACACAGTGATCACGCTGCTGCAGCAGATATGAATGTACTTCCTGTGCATATATATTTCAGGTTTAACACATTTTGTAGTGATGCATGCACTGTTCCTCTCCAGCTCAGAGTGGAGAGCTGCACTGCTCAGTGGCTGGTCCAGTGGGCGCTCGACACCCTGTTCAGGGTCTGCTGGAAAGGTTCGAGGCAGGCCCCGGCTGTGCTGCTAGAGAACGCGGAAACAAGGAGACTCATGTCATTGCATTAAGAAGAGTGACCAACAGCCCAGAAAACAAGGTAGCCGGCTAACGATTACTTAGCAAAAACCAAGGACCCCGGCTTCAGGAGCAGGGGGGCTTTTATTTGAGTCCGGGTTTTAGCTTT